CTAACCGCATGGTGCCCACGATGTTACGGTGCTGATGAATATGACTCAGCTTGCTTTGTATGTTTATGTCAGTGTTAACAGCATTTAAGTCCCACATTAGCCCCATTTGGGATGCCAGCACTCCGCACATTACTATAATTCGGTCAAATGGCATTTCCTGTGCAAACCTCAAGGGAGAGATTAAAGCACTGATGTATTTGCCGTTTATTCGATGTCATCAGTGGACAAACAGACAGAAACAGCTCTGTCCAGTCCCATGGATGGTTGTGTGGTTACTCACCATGAGGCCACCGGGGCATCTTTCAAAGGTATTTTTGTGATTTGACTTGTGCCTGTTGTCAGCATGGAAAGATATAATACCTACCTGCTATGTAAAAACAACACAGCAGAGCGACGCAGCATATTCATTTAAACATCGGTGTTATCTTTCCAGGGAGAAAGCCGGCACCTTATTGGGTCACAAAAACAACTTTAAAGATGCCACCTGCTGCTAAATAACAAGCAGAAACTAGCGTCTTGGTTTTGCATGGGGAACACTGGTGAATGAGTCATGAAGTGATGAACGGAGCGCTGAGGTCACAAATGGGGCTGGTCCAACATGAACTGTCGTCTTACATGTGCTTCAGACTGTCACATAAACAACACAACACACCAGACTCTGGGTACAGAATGGAAAGAATACACATAAGTTAGTGGATAACGCAGACTCGTGTTGCTTCGTATGATTTTTTGACACGACTCGGATGTTGCTCAGCTGACTACAGTCGGCGTATGGGCTCAGTGGGCAGCAGGTAAAAGTGGTGCTGCAGTCAATGAATGGTAATATATACAGTGTTCAGCTGGTTATTGTTCATTTCACAATGAGCAGCCCTTTGGCTCCTCAGATCAGTCCCACCTGTTCATTTTGACTTAAATACATTTTATGAAGTATTAATGCAGCCACTGAGCTATTAACCAGAGGAACCATCTGTGTCTAACAGGCTTATTATGAGAACATTTTTCCTGTCATTGTACCTCCAACACTGCACAATTTATACGGTCGCAGCAGCATCTGGTCACTACGGTTTATTGTGAGCAACACGTAGACACACAGAGCTCATCTGTTATCTCATTAGCAACACTAATCCAAAAAGGCTGCAGTCGTTCCTGGAAAAAATGGAAACAGAAATCAGTTGATTGAAAAATTCAATTAGAGGTTCATTCCACCCCAATTTCCTCTGCAATGAAAGAAATGGTCACTAATTTTCCTCCAAATGACCTTTACTGAGCTGCAAACATAGTCCTTCATAGAAAACACACTTTTTAACTGTTTATTACATGACAGTAGATCCAGTACGCCTCCAGTCCTCTGCTTCGGTTCTGTGGGACTCGATGGCAGAAGGATTGAAACCTGAGTCAACATCTTTTTTCTTTTTTTTTCTTTTCAAAGAAATCGTCATTGATTTCTTTGATGAATTTTCCAAATCTAAAGTAATATGGCCATAATTATTAAGGATGCAAACTCATGGTCATGCTGTTTTCTTCATGGTCATGGACTTTGCGAGGCGTCACATGAACACCATCCACCAACCACATGTCAAATGAACCATTCAGCTCAAAGAAACAGTGGAGTATTGCCTTCTTTCTGAGGGGGACACTGACTCATAACTCTCCAAGTTCAACCTTTGCAGTTTTCTACTTACTGCAAAATGCTTGCAAAATGTTTTTAACCAGTTCTTTTGTTGCCTCCAGTGTCTGACTGTGGTTTCTGTATCGACTCCTCGAGGTCTTTATTTGTGCTTCCATGTCAGACATCCCAGGCCTCCGCAAATTTTCAGAGTTTTCATTTAAGCAGAGCAGGATTTCCTTTAGACTGACTGAATTAGATTTTAGAAAACTGAACTTGAATTTGGCGTCCAAAGTAAATCAGAAGTCTGTTCTCGCCTTGTTGCAGCTCAACAAGACGATGAGCCTCAGCTGTGAGTAACAGACCAAAGATATCACCTGATCGCTCAGTCCACTGAACAAGTTCTTTACACCGACCCAGTATGGACTCGTACTGGTCTTGTAGGAACAGCTGGGAACGCTGGCCTGGGACAACAATGGAGCATGCATTTTGAACTATGCCTGCCAACTGCACCGATTTGCATGTTCTGGTTCTTTGTTCATTTGACTGGATTCCATTTTGTTTTTTGCACTTTTGTTTGTCATTATTTGACTTAGATTTACTTTGTTTTTCCTATAATTTGTTTATTTTTGGATTTATTTTATTTATTTATTTTAATTTGAAGGGATTAACTGGTGCTTTGTTTCCTATTCTTTTGTTTCAGTAAAGGGACCCGGCAGAAAGTTAAGTCTGCCAACAGATCTTAAGACTGATCTTGGTACGGTAGGCGAAAGCCAGCAGTTTTCACTTGATTTCCTTTGAGTCATTTACTTTCTGCTTTTGTCATGGTTTCTAGGCTTTTCTGTTGCTTTAGCAGTTTTTGTTTTTTAAATTCTTATTATTCTTACTCAAACTTTCTCCTTTCAGTTTCCTTGTCACGCTCTCTCCTCCTGTCTAACCAGCCCATGAGACTGTCGGCCTGAAGTGTTCGTCCATTTTGCCCCTTCAATGTGTTTTGATTTAAATCTTCTGTGTTTATTTCTTCTACATTTTGCAAGTGTTTCTAAAGGTGATCTGTAACCCATGCCCTCTCATGTAACTCCAATTCGAAGCTTTCTATCGCTTTACCATGATTGGACCATCCTCTGGTTTGACGCAGCCTTCCCTCCATCGACAGCCTCGCTCTGCGGTGTCGGATCACTCGCTGCCTCTCTCATCGTAACCCGATCATTTCTTTCTGAAACAGTCTTTTCCTACATTTTGACTGGATCATCTGCATCACAGATACCGAGCGTCCCCTCCTCTCCTCCTCCTCCATACATCTCTAACTGCTACATGCACATCACAGTCTCAGGTTTCCCTCTGCTCTCCTTCTGCAGCGTCACACAAGCTGTCGCCTCTAAAACCTCCTGCTTCATTAACACACAGTGTCCCAGCGCCTGCTTGTTACTGTGACTTAATAACTTCTCTTTATGTGACAGGTTTCAAAGTCTTTTTTTTTTTTTTCCAGCTAAAGTAAGAGTAAGAACCAAAACTGAAAAATTCAACCATGAGCGAGAAGAGAAGAGAAGAATCGTAACTTCGGTTTCCTCATCACGCATTTAGTAAAACGTTTTAAGCTCGTTAAGTTTCCTGTGAGGTGCAAACATGCCCCTGAACAATGTATGCTGTCAGTAAAAAGGTTGAACATAGGTATTAAGCCATCTTCTACCTTGCTAGAAGCTGCAGGATGTACCTCTGAGCAGCTGTGGGTTATATCAGTCAGAACTATCTGCTGCAGAGGATATGACTTATTTGTGCGAGTGTGTGTCTGTTGTGCGTATGTGTGCACTCTTGTTGGGTTTGTGCACTGCTCTGTGGGGGGTGTACAGTTTCCCTGCTATGTTCCAGTTTCCTTCACCGGTTTCTGGGGCAAATTTGCTTCACCAGTGTTTTAAATTTACAATAAAAAAAGGCCGATACGCAGCAGCGTCGACGTGTCGCTTAGTTGGTCCAATATTAGGAGCAGTTTTCAATCCCTGCGCCGCCTCGGTCCGTCCTGCTGGGAAACCGGGTGAGTGTTGCAGGCGGACTGGGAGGCACCCCGGAGTTTTTCATCTTCACTGCGAAATTGAATCATTTGTGCATTAACCAGCTGAGCAGGAGACTAGTTTTGACACGACAGACGTGTGAGAAGAGGACGGAGGAAAGGGAACGCTGCTGCCTGGTGTTCTCACAGATTTGCATAATGGTGTTTACCCCAACGCTTTATGAATTTCCTTGTCCGAGAACATGAAACAAAACAAATGGAAAGCTTCGATCAGACCTTCCTGTCAGCAACAAATGCTTTTAACCTCAGTTTTACTGCCATGGGGATGTCATTAAAGAAAAGGGCTCAGTTCTGTTTACTCGTCTGTCCAGACAAGAGAGGATGAGAGTTGCCCAGACAGAGGTATCGTCCAGCTGCTAATTACAGCTATCACAGCAGCTTTTTTTTGTCATTTAAACTGCAGGCAGCGAAGAATAGCCAGTCAACACCATCCTGCTTTTCTTTGTCTCATTGATAAGGTTTGGTTCTAAACAGATTGCTTTGCTCACACACTACAGCCAGCACTGTACGTTAAGTCAGGACTTCAAACGAACCCGGTCCCTGTAGGGAGGCCATCTGAAGCTACCAACAAGTGTCTCAGTGTCGGCTACGTCTAGATGGCGACCAACTCAACAGAGCACTCATTTGCATTAGAATAAAACAGCAGATATTAGTTTTTTCATTGCTTTTTTTACGCCTTTGATCTTCACTTGTAGCTTTGCCGGTAATGTCATAAAGCTTCTGGCCTTAAAAAGAAATAAACAGTTTCTGCTAAAACAAAACACGGTGTTCTGACAATTTACAACGATAAAAAGACACAAAGTGGAGATGAAACAAGCCTGTTTTTATATTTCTTTACCCTGGCACAGACTGGATGAAGCTGCACTCACAGTTTCCTTTCTTTTACCCCAGCATCTCCTTCTCCTCCCTCCTCATACTGACTTCAAACCAATCTTCAACCCTCGGTCACTCACTCTTCCCTTTTCCCCTCACTGTCATCTTTCTAGTTGACGATCAGATTTCTAACATCAGCTTGCTCCTCTTACACTGCAGAAATATCCATCTTCATAGGTCATGTAGTGTAATTAAGTCTGCATTTTTAAATAAAAACACTCTCCCAGTAGGTTAAAAGAGCATCAGCAATTTTTCCAAAACAGATTAAAATGCATTATTTGAGCCAATTTCTTCCCCCTAATTGTCAGATTTGTATGTTTCTGTGATTTCATTGCTCTTTATTAGACTACATGACTTATGAATATGGATGGTGCAGCAGTGGACCAGAATATGTTTGAAAGTTTAATTCTTTCCCTCCTTCTGTTGTTTGCTAATGCTGTGCCGTTGTTACAGATCATGTCAATGGACATTGCACTAGCCCCACCTCCCAGCCCTGCTCGGCGGGGAAGCCTCGCGTTCCGATGGGTCCTGAGGGGCCACGGCTTACCCGCAGAGGCCCTGGCCGACCACCCTTCCGCAAGGCCCAGTCCGCTGCTTGCATGGAGATCTCTTTGCCTGTGTCCCACACTGAAGGTGTGTGCTTGTCTTCCCCATCCCTAAACCTCTAACATACCCTCCCTTCCAACAAGTGCATGCCATCCCTTCACCCTGGGGTAAGTGGATTAAGGCCTGACACATCGTTAACACAAGGCAAGCACATGCTAATGCAAGTTGCCAGCGTCAGAATTTATGTCGTGGTGTCATTAACAGCAGATACTGGAGCGTAAACAAATGCAGCTTCGTTCATTTAAAAAATTTAATGATCTGCTGTTTGCTAAACGCTTCCTCCAAACCGCGGTAGCCAATTACAGCTCAGCCACCTTAACTAGGCACTGCAGCACCGTCAGGCACCATCCAGGTAATTCAGAGGGTGGTGTACGAACTGTAAGAAATCGATTCTAACATCATGTCTGCCTGACGTAACGTGATCTTCAACTGTTAGTGCCACAGGAGCTTGTGCAGTCGTCAGGCCGCTGTCTGGTGAACGGAGAGTTTCAGGAATGGTAGATTAAAACATCTTAATGTCTTACAACAACTACACAACACACACACAAAAAATGGATTTCCACCACATCAGACCTTTAAAGACTCCCTTTAAAAAAGTCTCCCTTCAAAGAAGTTAGCTGAAAACAAACAAAAGCAGGTCTAGACAGTGTGTTCAGCTGACCAGGGGTTAAACTGAGCCGGAGCCTCACTACAGACCAACTTACAGACAACTTGTGCTGAACAAACAAACGTAGAACGTCTTTGACTTTATTTAATAGCTGCAGGATCGATTCAGTCTCCAAACTGAAAGAGGGACTTTACACACATGGCACAGCAGGTGAAGCTTTAATTATTAAATCACCTGACAGGTGGTTTGATTGTGCGTAGCCTGATTAAGTGCTTTTCTTCAAGCAGAGCCGGAGCACAGACTCACTTTCTGCAGTGAAATTATGGAGTCAAGCTGAGATGTCGATCTATTTGTTCTTCAGTAAACATGGCTTCCTCTGGACAGTCTTTTTTTTTTAGTGTGTAACAAGTGCATTGTTATAGAGAGTTTTCACTTTTGCTGCTTTAATGCAGTGATATTTGGAGTACTGCAGGTATGAACTGATCTAATGAGTAAATAAGCCGCTAGTTATGATACTCAACCTATCAGTAGGTGTTTTAATTGGATCAATGCAAAATGATCTTTATGTCAGTGTCAGCGTTTACTAAACCATAAAGTACATGCTAACGATGATAATAATAATCCGATGGTCTGCCACTGTGTGCCTGTATAGCAGTTATATCAGGTGAACCTTTTCCTTCAAATTTAAAGTCTGTTGTTTCATCTAAAGTCCTGAGAAGTGCAGAGAAGAGAAAGAAGAGAAGAGAAAGCTTCTCCCAAGTAGAATCTTGCAATCTACACATTTAGATCACCTTCAGACGTCTGACTCTGAAACGCCACCGACACAGTAACGTTCGGTACAACATCAACATCCAGAACATCCTGCAGCAACACGTCGTACAACATGTTGTAACCACAGCTACTCTTTACTGAACAAATCCCTCCTGTTCCTACTGCTGGCAGCCTGTTCTGTGAGCTCCTTCCCTCCTCACAAATCCCAATTTAACCCCTGGAGTTGTCATTAGCTTAAGTAGCTCGTAAAAATTACTAAGAATGTTGAGCACTAATACAGCCGCTTGTAACAGGGAGGCTCACGTAACAGAAACAAGTGGAAATCGACAAAACTGAGCAATTTTATAATATCCTCCCAAAATCTAAACAGCTATTTCCAAGCATTTGCAGCCAAAATACATTTTTAGATGATACAGCTGCACACTGATGCGACCAATCAGCAGCCACGAGGCCTAGCAGGACAGTATGTTTCTGTTCAGCCACTTTATATTTCTGCAGCTTGCATTAGCATCACCTGACTACATTTGGACGACAGGTTCTGCTTCATTTGAATGCAAGAAGGAGCCCTTGCATTGTGTCCCTTAATGCTGTTGCTTGTGTCGACCATGTCGCAGGCCTCAAGGTTGGCAAAATACTAAGTGATGTAACCGATGATTTCTTTACTTCTCCAGTACCGTTGCTTCTTGTTTTTTCTCCTCTGCATCAAAACGACATTTATATTTATATTTATATTTATTTAGCTTGTAACAGCACTCGTGAGTCGTAGTAGATCTGACAGTATTTCTTCCATCTAGTAAAGCCTTCTTCTGTTCTTTTTTATTTGTTATGATAGATTCTGGATATACTGCTTTTAGAAAACAGCTAGCAGAGCAGACATGAGGTTTCTGTAGCGTGGCCACACCTCCCGCTTTGTCATAATCCACAAAACTTTATTTGGTTTATTTGTTTGCAAGTCTATGCAATTTCTTCATACTGAAATTACCTCAACATCTTTATTTTATTTATTTTCAAATAGCCCTTTTCAGCGTGCATAAAGACAAACGAGGGGAATAATCCCTCGCATGATCTGCACCTCTGGCATTTTGACGTTCTCATTGGCAAGTTTACTTTCTTCCATTTGAATCCCTTTTATTCACACCGTCACCACCGTTCACACCAGATTATTCCAACAGAGGCTTCACGTCGCCACGGTCAGTGTGGAAATGTGTGTGTAGATAAATGCTGTTGTGTGTGTGATAGAAGGCGTTTGTCTGTGGCTGTGTTTGTGTCGTTTTTATTGATATTTCCATATTATTAACTCTTCATCTGATTCAAGACGAACATCAAAAGGCTTTAATGAAACAGCTCTCTTATTTTTTTCCCACATTTTAAACATCAGTTCGTCCTCCGAGATTTGCTTTTAAAGGCTAAATGAGAAATGTTTTAGTCTTGTTGTTGGCTGTGTTTTTCCATTCTGCTCTTATACAACAAGTGACAGCCAAAACAAAGGCATGAAAGCCCGTAAATGAATATGCTGTCAAGTAAGGAGTTAAAATGATGCTCCCAGCAGGGTAATTCTGAGATACTGTCCTCAGAACTGAACCAGACAAATGGCCTCGGCCAAGATTGTAAAACAACACTTAATTACACAATATGCATGAATCCTTGCACTTAGTCTGTCGCTGGCGGGCGACAGGCATCAACGCAGGACGTCTGGTGACTTTGAATAGCAACAATCTGCCGCTCAGACAGAATCCAGACGCACATTCTCCATCTTAACGGGACTTCTGACATTTTCCCTGTCGGGTCGAACATTTTATTTATCTCGCCTACACTCAGAACTGCGTGTTTTTGTTGGGCGAATAAAGCCACCGACAAATATCAGCGGGCGCGTTTGCGAGCTGAACTTTGCTGCCTTTTCAGTCTTTACGGTGACTCATATGGCTAGGTGACATTCTGAAGAAATAAACAGTGAAGATGGAGAACACTGGCCAGACCAGACCAGGAGAAGATGTAAGTGGGTGATCCTTAAAAGACTGACTAAAGGATGATGTCGTCTAATTTAACGTGCAGAGCAGATTTTGCGCAGACTGCCGTGTGCGAGCAGATTTACGTCAGTCGTGATCATCATCATTTAAACACTGCATTGTTTCACGTAATGCTGATGCATCGTGTAAACTCTCACCCCAAAGGAGAGCACGCTGCTCGAAAGCTCTGGCTGGGCACTAATGGTCCACTCATGGTCTGTGTTTGCTGCTCGTCAGGACTCCTTCAGATTAACTGGAAGTCTTAGTCAGGTCACGACAGGCTCGTCTCGCCATAGGAGGCTCAACGTTGTGACAGTTCCCAAAATGTCACCGTTAATGTAACCTCCCCTGCACGAACATCACACGCAAAGAGAGTCTCGGCAGCTAAAAGTGAGCTCGTGCTCGAGTTTTAACAATCACGCCGGTGCAAACTATTAACTCTGGAAACAGCAGCGCGTGCAGCGTGGAGCGGCGCCGCTGTTTGTTGAGTCACAGCTGACCCCCTTACATCAATTCTGCAATTAGATTCACGCCGCCATCGTCAGCGACCTCATTATACAACAGTGACCTGGAACCATGAGGGAGGCAGCTCTTCATTAGCATGAGCTGAATGTTTTATTAAAGTCACTGCCTGGGCTACAGGTGCATTATCATCCAGACCAGTGCAGACCATGGCGGGGATCTCTCTTCTCCACACTTGATTTCATGCATCTACGGCCTCGCAAAATATTCATAAGAAACTGTCTGCAGACATTTTGAGTAATTTACTATGAAACTTTGTCAGAGTGTGTTTTGGCATGATTAGCAAGGCCAGGGGAGGTGTCAGATAATTACTAATCACGGCTCCAAAACACTGTGTTAGTTTATATTTAGCTCTTATATTTAGCCCTTGCGCTAGTTTTATATATATATAGATATAGTTATAGTTTACAGTATTTATTGACTCACAGGTTGTGTACTCTGGTAGCCAAGCAACCACATTTTGCAGCCAGATTCACTGTTGTGTTTTTGTGCAATGACAATAAAGAAAAGTCTTTAATGAAGGCAAAGAATTTCAACACCCCAAAAAAGAAAAATCACTCCTTATTTTTCCAGGTTGTCGTCCTTTTAGCGCTCTTTTTGTCAGAAAGCTAGCAGAGTCAAATAAAAGCGCTCTGCATCTCCTGTCTGGCAGGAAGCGCTTCACCGTCTCCCTCAGCCAGCCCGTTCTGTAGAACATCCAAGGGATAACCGCCTCCCCTCTGTGTGCCACGGCGGTAAACAGAGTCCTCCTGCTCGCTCAGGACTCAAATATCACTGAGAGTAGGGCTCTGGCTGTAATCAGCTTCCAGTGGTCATCACAGTGTCCAAAATGTGACACTTGTCCTGCGATTCCATCTCAAAAAGGCTGTTCGGCACCGTGAGGTAGAGTGAAGGAACAAAGCCTTTATTCTCTCAGCATTATTGTTTTCTAGTCCGTACATATCATACTGCATTAAATACATCGTCTTTCATTTGTCTCCATGAAGTATTTGATTTGATCCTCCTGTGTTCGGCCGGCCAGATTCAACGCTGTCTCTTCAGTCGTTTGGATGTCGCTGAATAAATCCTTCCCATCCTGGCTGCACCACCAGCCTTCCTCTGAAATGTCAAAATGTCAACTCGGTGCACGAGATGTTGCGTCATCTAATAGGCAGCTTGCAGTGAAGTTTGCTGTGCACACTTCATGCTTCCACCTCTTCCTGTGTTCTGCACTGAATAATGTACCCGCCGCTTAGAACCTGCAGCGGCTTCAGAACAATATGAAAGATGTGTTTGGTTCTTTTGGACTTGGATAGAGCAACAGCTTGACTGAAGATTAAACTGTCTGAGGTTCTTTAGCAAATCTGCATCAATCAAAACTTGCTTTTAGCCGTATATGCTTACATACTGGCAGGATGGCACATAAAGTAAAGAACCATTAGAGTCCATTGTGTTGTTCTGTCTGAGCTCTACAGTTTGTTCTCACCTGAGCTAGATGCATGCTGTAGCTGTTCAGTTGCATAACTCACTCAGAGCATGTGGTGGGGAGGAAATAGGAATAGCAGTAGCCTGTAGCAGCATTAATGAGTGTTTATTATGCAGGAACAGTCGCTTTTCTCTGCAGACCTTTTGCATATTCTCTATCTGCTGCCTACCTTTGGCACTGTTGTTTATCAGCTGCACTGGGCTACCACGGCGAAGAGCCAGCAGGATCACTGGAATAATTAAAGGTCAACAAGCAGTGCGAGAAATGAGGCCGATGTTAATGAGGCCTGCATGCCAGGCAAGAAGACAGAGGAGGGAAATGGCAGGGGAAGCCGGGCTCAATGTACACTACGCATTTCCATACCTCCCATCTCGGTCAGGCAGCGCGCCCATTAAGTATTAATGACGCGGTTCTGTGATGCCGTTGGAATTACCTGTGGACGCGGTGAGACCATTGTTAGCGGTTGTTTAAGAACAGGGAAATCCATAAGTTTGAGTGTTGTTGTCTGTTAGTGTAAAAGCAGGAGGTATTGTTTCCCCTGAGCGTGACCCTGGTGTCACCCTCAGACAGCATCATAGCGGGCAATTCACAATTCACAAGCAAAAGAAACGATACGAAACTGTGTTTTTCTGAGAGCACAGGGCTGAGCTGTAGGCCATGTCCATGCTGGGGCTCTGTGATCATTAACGTTTGATGTTAAAGATTTACCAATTAAATAAACAATCAAATCAATCATGTTTCTGTTCATGTTAAAGCAGAAAGAAAAGGTTTCTTCAGTCTTTGGCGTTGCATAGATACGACAATAGGAGTCAGACGTAATCTCCAAGCATCTGTCGTTGTGTGTGTGAGTGTGTGTGCACGTACCACTGTATACGTCTGGCACTTTGTCTGTCTCACGACTTCAGATTGTCTGCCTTGCCTTATCACCTCCCTGACACCGCCTCACCTGCCTCCAGCTCCCTGTAAGGGCCTCCCAGGGGTCCCCGTGTCCTGTCAGAGCACCACTGTGCCTGACTTTCATTAGCCAGCACCCCACAGGCTCTGTCGCACACCGTAAACACACCCCAGCGACACGCGGCAAAATGGAGCTGCTGCTGCTGCCCAGACTCACAGCAGAGGCTATTTTGTCTTTGCGGTTGCGAGCAGCGTCGTACAGCGTTGTTGTCAAGACGTCCGCGTTTGGCCTGAAAACGAGAAAATATCTGATACTGCAAAACCCAAACCAAGCAGAATGTCTTCCTTCTTGACATCCTTGGCTTCATTCTGGTCTGAGTCAGCTCTCCTGGCGCCTGCTTTGTAACCAGTTTGGGATCCGCTCTACAAGTTCTTGTACTTGTTGCAGCATCAAAGAAAGCCGCATCAAAAGTTTCGGTCGTCGTGCAACAGCGCTGTACGGCGGCTCTTTATCGACCGCGCTGGACTGCATGTAGGAATGCTGTGTCAGAGTTACTCATCACATCTGAAGCACAGAAACCTGCTTCTCTCGCCAGCAGCGTTTAGTTTAGCAGATGGTGCTGAAAAGGGGTTCATAGAGGAGATGGATATGCGAGTCAAGGTTGTGTGGCCACCAGAAACAAGCCGCGTGGCCTCCTTTTCAGTCGCACGTTCTCTGTCTGTGTATATATTTGAAGCAATCGCTCCACGCTCAGTTGCATCTCTCTCTCTTTCCCTTTCTGTCATCCTCTGGTACCGCCGTTCATCTGTCCGTCTGTTCCTTGGCTCGGTATGGCGACGCCTGTGTGTGTGTGTGTGTGTGTGTGGCGGTTTGTTGTATGGGGTTCATGTTGTGGGGGATAAGTAGGGCATGCATCCAGGAGGGCAATGCTTCAGCAGTTACACGGAGTCACTATGTACTCCCACGACGAGCACCACACCGCCGCCTCCTACTGCTGGAGCGAGAGAGGTAAGGGGGCTTCGGCCTGTCAACTGCTGTCCTGCTGACTGGTTCACGTTCGTCCGTCCGTCCGTCCGTCAGTCAGATTGTCAGTCCGTCCTGTGGCCCTGTCTCATCTGAAACATGCCCAGAAGTGCCTGCTCCAGTCCTGGAAAGTGTAGGAGTGGGCTGATGCTGTCTTTATATAGAGAGTGTTTTGCAGGCTACATACTTTTTGACATGAAGCACACTGTACGGCCATAAATATTGGATGTCTTCTTCTTTTTTTCAGCCTGTGCAGTTATTTTTGCTTGACAACAGAGTTAAACACACAAATAAGCAAATCAACAGATGTAAGGATGCAGCTCTCATCCTTAATTAGACTTTTTTTGTGTTTTTTTAAGAACTAAAACAGACTTGGTTGTTCTTAAAGTACATTCAAGTGTTGTTTAATCCATCGAGCATCTGTCGAGATTTAATTCATCTTCCCTCGATGTGTGTACGCCAGGCTTCGCAGCCATTTGCAGTCGCTGTTACGTAAAGTCTACACTTTGTGTAACATTAGGCCGGGAATGCAGCGCTGCACACTTCCTGGCTCTGAATAATTCAGAAATGCAGCAGCAATACAGAAATACTTTCATGATGGAGGCTTTAAGTACACAATGGAGGAGCTGAATGTGTAGCACTCACAGTCAAAGAGGGTTTTGAGTTGGGTGTGTGTGTGTGTGTGTGTGTGTGT